CTGTGGAAAATCTCTTTGAGAATTCTTCCGGTCGAGACAAAAAATATGCGAGAATATTATCCTTTCCTTTCAGGTGCCTGACTTCAAACTTGTATGGAGAGAACCATTGAGCCCACCTGAGAATCTAAGGATTGGGAATAATTTTGGCATTTAGCTGAATCATCTTTGGGAAGGCCTTCATATCCATTTCTATCAGAAATTCTGTATGAATAAGGAAGAAATTAAATTTCTTGATTCCATTCTTTACTGCAAGAATTTCCTTGAAAGTGGAGTGATAATGTTGCTCGGCATCTTTGAACTTTCCACTGGCGTATCCGCATATTTTCCTCTGGCCATCTTTTTCTTCAAATAGAACAGCACTCCAATATTCATTGCTAGCATCAGTTTGCAATATCTTCTTACCGTCCGAAGGGATATAGAGGGACTTGACATTTTTAGAAATCTCCTTTATTTCCTGGACTGCTTCATCTTGTTTCTTTCCCCATGGTGGAGCATTTTTCTTGAGCATCTCTGTAAGTGGAGAAATGTATGTAGAGATATTTGGGATGAAATCTCTCACATAATTTATTATGCCTAAGAATTGTTCGATTTGCTTTGTTGTGAAGTTGGTATCCGGAAATTTGAGTAATTCTTGACATATATGTGGGCCCGGAATGTATTCACCTTGGACAAAATGCATTCCAAGAAAATCAATCTCCTTTTGAGCAAGAAACATCTTTTTTGCTGAGAGCATGATTCCGTACTGTGTTACCAATGCCTCAAATTGACGAAGCAAGTTGATATGTTCCTCCAATGTATAACTAAATAACAGGATGTCATCAATGAAAACTAAAGAGGTATGGAGGATGGGTTGGAATATTTTTATCATGGCTTTTTGGAACAAAGAAGGTGCAGTTTTTAACCCGAAGGGCATGACTTTCCATTGGAAGTGATGATCGGGGATGCAAAATCCCGTTTTGGGTCTTTCTTCAGGGTGTATTCCCAATTGCCAAAATCCTGAATTTAAATCAAACTTGGAAAAATAATTGGCCTTGGCTAAGTGGGAGAAAAGGGTGAGTTTATTTGGGATAGGGAACTTATCATCTTGGAGGAAATGGTTAAGTGGCTGGTAGTTGATGACTAACCTGAGTTTTCCTCTTGTCTGCTCAGCTCTTTTGTTGACATAAAATGCTTCGCATGCCCATTGTGAATCTGATGGCTCTATCAGATCAAATTCCAAAAGTTCTTCACATTCTTTCTTTGCAAGCTGAAGATGATCTGGATTCATCCCTGAATGACTGGCTTTTGTCGGATTGATATTTTCATTTTTCTTGAAAGGGAGCTTGATAAAAAACTCTTCGTTTTTCCATAACGGGCGTTTCCCTTTCTTCATGAAATCCTTGTGGGATTCGGCACATGATTGTTCAATGAGATGTTGCTCAATCTCTTTGATTTGTTCATCATTGGTGATTTGGAATAGCCTTGGAATCTCAGAATAAGGTCTGAACTGCTTTTTAAAAGCTATCCCGTTGGCCCTGATCTGGAGTTGATCTCTAAGTTGTCTGTAAATGTCGAATCCAATAATAAGATCCTTTCCTGGTACATCAGATCCTAGCAGCTTGGTTCTGTACTTCAATCCTGGAAAGAACTCAATTGTGATCGGGTGCTTTGTAATGACAGTTGTGGTCAAGATTGCATTTGATGCAGTGTTGAAATCCTTAAAATGCGGTACCCATTGATCTTCAGGGAGAACAGCAGGATTTATAAGTGAGGAAGCAGCTCCGGTGTCGATGAAAGCAATAACTCGAGTTGGTTTATCCCACTTGGATGAATAAACTTTGAGTTCTACTTGAGGAACGACTGCGAGCGCATTGATCTCCTCTCGGGCTTCGATCATTGGTTCTGAAATTTGGTAATGATCATTGCCTTGATCTTCATAGATATCAAGAGAGAATAAAGTTTCTTCATTGGGTTCATCATCCACAGAGAATATGGATTCAAGGTCCTCTTCCTTGCCGAGATGTATGCCGGTGTAATCTTCAATTTCTTCAATCAGTTTGACAGATCTTCTTGATTGTGGACAATTCTTAGCAAAATGTCCAATCTTATGACAAATAAAACATCTATTTTTCTTGTGAATATTTCTTGGCCTTCTTCGTCTGAAATATTTTGTGCGTCTCTTGGACCTTGATTTCCCGTCTGAAATTCTTGGCCATTTGAACCTCCTGAATTCTCTCCGTCGCCTAGATGTGTGGCAGGAACATCCTGATTCGGTGATTAGATCAGATTTGCGGCATGCTTTGTCAAGCACTGGATTGTGTTGGATAATTTGTTTTAGGGCAGAGCGCTTCGTACAAATATCATCCATTGCTACGAAAATAGCTTGCCTGATGTAACCAATTTGTGGGATTGTTATGGACTGAAACTTTTCTTCAATGATGGTCATGGTTCGACTTGCCAGCAACTTTGGAAGGGAAGATACAAAGGCTTGCTTTAGATTGATGTCTCCACCGATCTCGAAGTATGTCTTCGCCATTTTTTTAAAATGTCTATCAATGTCATTTCTGTCGAATGATACACACTTCATCTCAAAGAGTTGTCTTCGCATTTTCTCCTGTCTTTGGCCAGTATCTCCGCAGAAAACTTCATGTAGGATCTTGATGTTGAAGGCAAAATCTTGGGAAGTAAGAAAAGTATTTTTGTCTTGGATTCCAAGTGAGTTCCACCAATCTCTGAGAATTCCTGAGAACCGTGAAGTGAATTCTGAAAGGTTGATATACTTTTCTCGTTCAACCAAATTTTTTGTCACCATCCAAGTATAGAAGTCTTGGATCCTTTGAGGCCATTTTGAAACCTTGACGTCATCTAAGGTGAAAGTGTGGAAACCAGTTCCAACTGGTTTTGACGCCATGGGCTCATATCTTTTTTCTGGGATTGGTTCATCTGTCATGCCTTCTTGTTCCTCATCTACTTCAGATATTTCTGGGTCTCTTGGCTGGTTTACAAATATTGGGGGATCGTCTTCTTCGGCAGAGTTCGCTCTGGATTCATTGCTTGATTGAGAGCTATGTTCCATTGTTTCATCTTCTGATGAATTTAGAGATTCCGACCATGGAGTATCTTCCCCTGATATGTATCTTGGTTGGGAGACATAGAGGCCTGGAGCCTTCTGGTTAGAAATTATTAGATTTTCAGGATTTGATCCTTTTGAACTTTCTCCTTGGTCTCGCCTTTTCTTGGTTTGTTTCTGTGCTGCAAGGGCATCTTTCCTTTCCCAAACCATTTTTGCGATTTTAAAATCATGTTCTTCTTTTTCTGCTTGGGTGAAAGAGATTGGATTTTTTGAGGTAGATGGAAAGGTAGAAAAGGTGTAGTCCAATTTAGGCGGGGAATATGCTTGTGGAGACATAGGGAAGAAGGTAGGCTTTGAAGGGAAAACTGGGGGTTTTTGTGGCTCAAAGTGTTCATTTCTCAAAAGTTGGATTTGTTCCTTGATGGAAATCGTCTCTTTTGGTTGTTGGAAAAATTGGAAAAGTGATGTTCCTGGCGGACAAATCTCATCTTCAGGGTGTATTTCCAATTGCCAAAATCCTGACTTTAAATCAAACTTGGAAAAATAATTGCCCTTGGCTAAGTGGGAGAAAAGGGTGAGTTTATTTGGGATAGGGAACTTATCATCTTGGAGGAAATGATTAAGTGGCTGGTAGTCGATGACTAACCTGAGTTTTCCTCTTGTCTGCTCAGCTCTTTTGTTGACATAAAATGCTTCGCATGCCCATTGTGAATCTGATGGCTCTATCAGATCAAATTCCAAAAGTTCTTCACATTCTTTCTTTGCAAGCTGAAGATGATCTGGATTCATCCCTGAATGACTGGCTTTTTTCGGATTGATATTTTTCATTTTTCTTGAAAGGGAGCTTGATAAAAAACTCTTCGTTTTTCCATAACGGGCGTTTCCCTTTCTTCATGAAATCCTTGTGGGATTCGGCACATGATTGTTCAATGAGATGTTGCTCAATCTCTTTGATTTGTTCGTCATTGGTGATTTGGAATAGCCTTGGAATCTCAGAATAAGGTCTGAACTGCTTTTTAAAAGCTATCCCGTTGGCCCTGATCTGGAGTTGATCTCTAAGTTGTCTGTAAATGTTGAATCCAATAATAAGATCCTTTCCTGGTACATCAGATCCTAGCAGCTTGGTTCTGTACTTCAATCCTGGAAAGAACTCAATTGTGAACGGGTGCTTTGTAATGACAGTTGTGGTCAAGATTGCTTTTGATGCAGTGTATAAAGCCTTAAAATGCGGTATCCATTGATCTTTAGGGAGAACAGCAGGATTTATAAGTGAGGAAGCAGCTCCGGTGTCGATGAAAGCAATAACTCGAGTTGGTTTATCCTACTTGGATGAATAAACTTTGAGTTCTACTTGAGGAACCACTGCGAGCGCATTGATCTCCTCTCGGGCTTCGCTCATTGGTTCTGAAATTTGGTAATGATCATTGCCTTGATCTTCATAGATATCAACAGAGAACAAAGTTTCTTCATTGGGTTCATCATCCACAGAGAATATGGATTCAAGGTCCTCTTCGTTGCCGAGATGTATGCCGGTGTNTGTTTCCACTTTGCTCATCATTTTGTCTGTCTATGGGCCACTTTCTTTATGGTGTTGCCAATGTTGTTCAGGACTTTGTTTTGGCAGATGGAGTTTTCTGATTGCCAATTTATTGTTGCCTCAATGTCACTCGTTGGGGATTTTTCTCCAGAAGGTAGTACTATGTTTTTCTTGGGGATTTTTGGGGCATGACTGATACCCTCTTTTTTGAAAGATTGAAGTGGAGGAAAATCTTGGGAGTGGCTGGAACTTGAAGGGCTCATCATGAATAATTGCGGATGTGTAGACTTTTGGGTTGATGGAGTTTTAGGTTCAGGTTGCTTTTTGGATTCTGGATTACGAGCTGATGGTGGTTTCTGTTTTTGGGGTGGTTTCACTATCATCCCAACTTGGAGTGAATTTTTCTGGTAATTATGGCCATTCCTGGGGTTCATAACTGACAAGAAATTCATATTTATCTTGACGGCTTAATGAGCCAATTGAAGGATCTTTATTTTCATATTTGGCTCGAAATTGTTTTTCAGTAGCTTTCTCCTTTTTCTTGGATTTTGGTTTGCGCTGGTGATGTTCATCATATTCTCCAATTGGATCTTCTAAACAGTCTTGGCAGGTGCAATCAAGATCCCATGGGTAGTGACTAGTGAAGGGGCATTTGAACCACCACATTCTTTTTCCTTCTTTGTCAAAATATTGGCACCAGTCATGTTCTTCCATGATGCTTTGTATATTCCAGAAAAACTCTCCATCAGGTTCTGGGTATGTATCTATGGTATCTTTGGGTTGAATCATTTGGCAAGAGAAGATGGTTTTATTGAGTTTTTTGAGATGGGAATGGTCAAAGCTTATACAAACGGTTTTGTCACTTCTTTTGGTAAAAGTTGGTTCACCAGATTGCAGAGATTCTTCAGGTTCCCTTAGATTTTCGTAATTTGTGATCCAAGAGTCAGGAAGAATTTTGACTAGCTCATCTCTGGAAATCTGTCTGGGTATTTGGGTGCACATGGTGTTCCCTTTGGTAGCATCAATATTTAAGAGTAAAACATTTTCTCCTCCGGGAAGACAGAGATCCATGACATGATTTTGGACTCGCCATGCTATTTGGTGGTGAAGAGTAGCTTGGATGGAATCTTTTGCTTGTGGGGCTCCTTGGATTTGGACTTGGATTTTTAGAGCTTCGGTTGGGTATGGGTCATAAAGGGACATGTTGAAATTTGGAAAGATAGTTATGAAGACAGTCCCGGCATTTAAGGTAACTTCTGTAGTACCCAAATTTGCATGATGGTACTCCAAATATCTTGAATCTAGAAGAGAAAGTCGAGCTACGACAGGTTGACCTTTTCTTCCGTGGTATGTTAAAGCGATTCAAATAGCACCAAAATGAATATGGGTAAAACCATGATCTCTCCATTGTCTGGGAAAATCATCTGGTATTTGAAGAGTGATAAATTGTTCCTCTCAAGTGGCAAGAATAGGATGCTGGTCAAGTTTTGAGGCAGCAACATATTCTTTAACTCCTTTTGGTCTGTGTTGGACTAAGGAACGAATTTGGGTCTAGGGTGCAAAGGATTTTTTGGCAAAAGCTGAGTAAGGGTTTATGAGGGGTAGTTCAGTGGAGGATACTTTTTGTTCATCAGGTAGTATATCTACTTCATAGAGATAATTATATTTTTTGGACAAGGTTTTATATAGAGTAGGGGACATATTCATTTTTGTAAGGGAAGAGGATGATGGAAATGACTCAGACATATTTAGTAAACTGTTCCTCCCTCCGAAATGATGGACTGGATCTGATACCACAGTATAAAGAACAGAGCAAGAGACTCCAAGAAAGCAAACTAATTCATAGATACGAAAGATTCCCTACAAAAGGGGCTGGCTTCAACAATCCATAAGGTACGGCTTGCCAATTGTCACCATGTCATGCTATTCTTAATTGTCACGCTAAGACCGTGTCGTTGGCAATGCCGGGATTGCCTAGGGTTGAGTGGAGAGGTTCTCTGAACTATGTTCCCAGTATAGTGATTTCATATTTGAAGGCTTAACGGATGGTTGGGAAGGGACGTCTTGCATATTTGGCCTTTATGAGGGATGTAGTGCTGATACTCCTACCATTGAGTCCATTCTGGTAGTGAGAGACTTTTCGGATGTGTTTCCTGCAGGCCTGCCTTGTATGCCACCCGACATGGACATTGATTTTGGTATTGACTTGGTGTCGTGAACTCAGCCCATCTCAATCCCTCTGTTTTGTATGGCACCGGCAGAGTTGAAGTAACTGAAAGAACAACTCCAGTAGCTACTTGATAAGGGATTCGTTAGGCCTAGTGTGTCGCCTTAGGGTGCACCGGTTTTGTTTGTGAAGAAGAAGTATATTACTATGCAGATGTGCATTGATTAATTATAGGCATTTGAACAAAGTTACAATTAAGAACAAGTACCCACTACCGCGCTTTGATGACTTATTTGACTCACTTTAGGGTGCTAGAGTGTTATCTAAGATTGATTTGAGGTCTGGGCATCACCAGTTAAAGATTCAGGATTCTAATATTCTGAAGACAGCATTTAAGACCCGTTATGGTCACTAGAAGTTCCTTGTGATGTCTTATGGGCTGACCTGTGCCCCAGCAGCATTTATGCATTTGATGAACAGTGTATTCTAGCCATATCTTGACTCTTTTGTCATAGTATTCATTGATGATATACTGGTGTACTCATGTAGCCAAGAGGAGCATGCTCATCATCTGAGGATTGCACTACAGACGTTGAGGGAGAAGAAGCTTTATGCTAGATTCTACAAGTGTGAGTTCTGGCTTGATTCTGTGGCATTCTTGGGGCACGTGGTGTCCAGTGAGGGGATCAAGATAGATCCATAGAAGATTGAGGCAATTTAGAGTTGGCCCAGACCGTCATCAGCTACTGCAATTCGGAGCTTTCTTGGCTTGGCCGGATATTATCGTCATTTCATGGAGGGCTTCTCGTCCATTGCTACACCTTTGACTAGATTGACCCTGAAGGGTACCCCATTTAGGTGGTCGAATGACTGTGAGGAGAGCTTTTTGGAGCTAAAGACTGCATTGACCACAACTCAAGTTCTAGTTTTATCTTCAGCATCAGGTTCATACACGGTTTATTGTGATTCTTCTTGGGTTGGTATTGGGCGTGTCTTGATGTAGGAGGGTAGGGTTATTGATTATGCTTCATGCCAGTTAAATCCACATGAGAAGAACTACTCCGTTCATGATTTAGAGTTGGCAGCTATTGTTCATGCATTGAAGATTTGGAGGCATTACGTCTACTGCATGTCTTGTGAGGTATTTACAGATCATCGGAGTCTACAACACTTGTTTAAGTAGAAGGATCTAAATTTGAGGTTGCAGAGATGGTAGGAGTTGTTAAAAGACTATGATATCTCTATTTAGTATCATCTTGGGAAAGCCAACGTGGTGAATGATGCCTCGAGTAGAAAGGCGGTGAGTATGGGTAGCCTTGCATATATCCTAGTTGGTGAGAGACTGCTAGTATCATATGTTCAGGCTTTGGCCAATCAGTTCGTGAGGTTAGATGTTTCGGAGCCTAGTCGGGTTCTAGCTTGTGTGGTTTCTCGATCTTCTTTATATGAGCGCATAAGAGAGCGTTAGTATGACGACCCCTATTTGCTTGTCCTTAAAGAAACGGTAAAGCATGGCAATGCCAAGGAGGTTTCTATTGGAGATGATGGGTGTTGAGGATGTAGGGTCGGATTTGAGTGCCCAATGTTGATGGGTTGCGTGAGACGATTCTTGAGGAGGCCCAAAGTTTGTGGTATTCCATTCATTCGGGTGCTACGAAGATGTATCAGGACTTGAGGCATCATTATTGGTAGAGAAGAATGAAGAAAGACATTGTAGAGTATGTGGCTCGGTGCTTGAACTGTCAGCAGGTGAAGTACGAGCATCAGAGGCCGGGGGGGGGGGGGGGGTTTGCTTCAGAGACTTGAGATTCCTGAGTGAAAATGGGAGCGTGCTACCATGGAATTCGTTGTCGGGCTCCTACGGGCATTGAAGAAATTCGATGCTATTTGGGTGATTATGGACCGGATCTTCCCCACTTAAAAATATTTCGTCCTCGAATGTTAAACTCCCAAAGATATATTGAAATTTTGGCAGAGTCTCCTCTGTAATGGTACCACTACCAACCTGTCTGAGAGAAAACCCAACAATACAAAGCCACACAGGGACACAATCATCAGTAACACTAATGGCCTCACATGAGCAATGACAATAACTAACATAAGAATCATGCACGATATACGTAGCTAAGGCTGTGATATCTCAGTCCGATCCTCCTTCGGAAGTGGAAACAAGTGAGGATACCTAGACTTCATGTCTTCTTCAGCTTGCCAAGTCATCTCCTCCACATTATTGTTCCTCCAAAGTACTTTAACCGAAGATACGTCTTTGGTTCTCAATCTTCGAACCTGTCTATTTAGTATAGCAATGGGAGCTTCCTCATATGATAGTTGCTCTGTTACCTGAACATCATCAATTGGAATGACCCTAGAAGGATCTCCGATACACTTATGGAGCATAGACATATGAAAAACTGGATGTACTGACTCCAAGTTGGAAGGCAAGTCTAAGTCATACGCTACCTGGCCTACTCTGTGTATGATCTTATAAGGTCCGATGTACCGAGTGCTACGATTTCCTTTCTTACCGAATCTCATAACGCCTTTGATCGGTGATATCTTTAGGAATACCACGTCATCTACCTGAAACTCCAAGTCTCGTCGTCGATTATTTGCATAGGACTTCTGACGACTCTGAGCTGCTAATAGCCTTTCCCGTATAAGCTTAATCTTCTCAACTGCATGTTGTACCAACTCTGGTCCTACTAACTTAGTTTCCCCAACCTCGAACTATTCGATAGGTGACCTACACTTGTGTCCGTAAAGAGCTTCCTACGGATCCATCTGAATGCTGGAATGGTAGCTATTATTATATGTGAACTCAATAAATGGAAGATGATTATCCCAGCTACCCCTGAAGTCTATGACACAAGCCCGTAGCATATCCTCTAGTGTCTGAATAGTACACTCAACTTGACCGTCTGTCTGGGGATGAAATGTTGTACTAAGACTTACTTGAGTCTCCGATCCTTTTTGGAAGGACCTCTAGAAATTAGCTGTAATTTGAGCACCTCTATCTGAGATAATAGATATAGGGACACTATGAAGTCATATTATCTCCCTTAATGGAAAGCCTTACATAATCCTCTGTGAATACGTAGTCCTGACAGGCAAAAAATGGGCTGATTTTGTAAGTCTATCAACAATAACCCATATAGAATCAAACTTACGCTGGGTACGAGGTAAGCCTATGATGAAATCCATATTAATTACTTCCCATTTCCAAGTCGGAATCTCTATAGCCTGCAATAATCCACCGGGTTTCTGATGCTCAATCTTAACCTGCTGACAATTAGGGAACTGAGCAACAAACTCTGCTATATCCTTCTTCATTTCGTCCCACCAGTATATTTCCCTGATATCATGATACATTTTCATCGCTCCTAGATGAACAGAATAACAAGAATAGTGAGTTTCTCCCATAACCTTCTGGTGCAACCCAGCCACATTAGGAAAACATAATCGACCTCGATATCTGAGGACTCCATCTCCTGTAATCTCAAATGGTGTCTTCTCCTTTTGAGGGTTGTATCTCTATAATAAGATAGCACAGGATCCTCATACTGGCGTTCCTTCACTTCAGTTACTAAAGAGGATGTTATCGTGTCCTAAATAGTAACTCCGCTATCACCTGAATCTAGTAATCAAACTCCAAGATTAGCTAGCTAATGAATCTCATGGGCTATCTCCCTCTTCTCTGGCTGTAAATTTGATAGGCTACCCATAGATCTACAGCTGAGGGCGTCGGCTACTACTTTCGCTTTCCCTGGATGGTATAAAATATCAACATCATAGTTTTTTAGTAGCTCCAACCATTGCCTCTAACGTAAATTCAATTCCTTTTTCTTGAAGACATACTGAAGGCTCTTATGATCCTTATAGATATCAACATGAATACCATACAAAT